TGTCTCGGAAATTGTGAGGGTCATTTTTGCCACTTTTTGATGAAAAGATTAATTAAACACGTTATTGACAGTGAACTTTTATTTCTGATTCGGGAAAAAAAAAAAAAAAAGTAATTTCCCCACGGGGATTATTAAAGTATTTCTGATTCTGATTCTGATTCTGAACTGACAATGAAAATCATCATTGATTGCAGCCTTACTGCAGCAGTGCACCATCAGTGGCTGCTTTAATCACCAAGGAACAATAAAGTGTGCATACTTAAGACAATTAAATTAGTGTTGGCGTCAAACTGTGTCTATAAACTGAGGCTCTGTACCTGCTCTGTAGATTCCCATGTCCTTTACAAACTCCTGTGTGAAATATGAGAAATAAGTTGTACCCAATTACATAAATATAACATACAAAACAAATCTTATCTTATTTCTGGTTGTATGTCTGGCATGCTTAGCAAATTAAAAGTCAATTGAAAATACAGTCAAATGAATGAGTATTTACTCACTGAAACTACTCCTTGCATGCATTTAGTGAGACCTAGCATAGTAACATTACACACTTAATTAAAAACCAGCACAGGCCAGCAGCAGCAGCAGTTTGACCACCTCAGGGTGGGTTTCATTATTCCTATCTACACTGAATGGAACAGGGGCCAAGATAGCTATCTTAATCTTATTTGGCTATAGAGGCTCACTCTGTCTTTTCACCCCATCGTTCCTTCTTTCTCTTTCTCTCACTCTCTGTCTCTCCCATGGATGCATACAAACACAGATTGACCCTTTCTAACCAGCCTTTCTTTATACCTGAAGGATGACAGTCCCCCTCCACATATGGCAGTTTGTGTCATTGTATTCTCAGTTCTGTGAGTGAGACAGAGAGAGATTGAAACAAGAGAAGAGGGAGACAGGCAATCAGATAGAGGGGTTGTCGGGATGTGTGTATCAGTTGTATCTTGGCTGTGTGTGTGTATATGTGTGTCTCAGTCGATTGTATCTTCAGTGTTTCTCACCATCGCAGCCACATTGATAGCTGAGGTAACACCAAACATGATATTAATGACGATAAAGTTACTGTAGGTAGGGAAACCCTGTGTATCTCCATCAGACATATTTCACTAATCCTTTGATGTCCTGATCAAACATTGTACCAAAGCCAAACTTACTGCTTCAGTCTCCACAGATTTTGGCCTGTTTTAGCTCTGCCCTGCTCTGTGTTGAGCACTGAGAAATGGCGTGTAAGGCAAGCAGCAAGACCCAGAATGCAACCTGCCAAACTGCCAGATGCTTTGATCCAAGATGGCCCCCTGAGAGCCAGCATGGATCCACAGATTCTCAGAGCCAAGGCTGGATTCACAGACACAGTGTCAGTGGTGCTTGCCAGGGATATTTACACCATTTGTCTTCATACAACACAACGTTCACCAGTTTTTTTTCCCTCTGTTGTTGTCACTCTTAACATATGCCATTTGGTGGGCGAGCTCATCACAGTACAGCCAGTGGATACATTTTTAGACAAAGGGTTGTCTCAGTGGGAATCAAACCCCCAACCCTGCATTAGAGCCCTAATTTATGGATTGAGCAACAGAGTGCAGCTCTTAGTAATCGTCTACATATATAACACTGAAACAGCCACTAACTAATTTTACCTAAAAAAAAAGTATGTAAATAAATTAATAAAACCTCAAAGGAGAGAATTATCTATTATGAAAATATTTAATAAACTAAAAAATAAACTTTTTACTCTACCAAAATGTATTTTGTGAATACCAAAAAAACACAATAAGAAAATAATTGCAACGTTCTCCACCATCTGATGAGCAGGTTCTCATCTTTGCAGTTGTCCACTGTAAGATGTGTCTTGTATTTATCAATGGGTATGAAAGGATTGTAGTTCCCATACATAAATGGCAGACCCAGTTAATGTTACTCAACTGAAACAGTAAACGCTGCAGACACACCTCCGTCTCTTAAAGAGTCAGGTAGTATCTGGAGGTCAGAGTTCAACTCTAGAGAGGTTGAGTGAAAGGAGGAGGTTGCTGAGCAGCTGTCCTGTACCACTCGTCCTCCCTACATCTCTCCATCCCCTCTTTTCTTTCTCTGCTTTCAAAGCGCTCACCTGCTTGCCCTTATTCCCTGCTTCACTCCCTTCCTCCTTCAGTCATCCCACGTCCCCTCAACATTCACTGCTTTCCCCTCATCTCTCCTTTCTCCTTCCTTCTTCCATTTCTTTCCTCTTTTTTTCCTTCCTGCTCTACTTTATCCTACCTCCCCTACCTTTACCCTGACCTCCCTGCCTTTCTCTCTTCGCTCTCCTCCTTTCCTTTCTCTCCCTCCCTTCGCCTCCCCTCCCTCCTTTCATAAAATGCGGCTGGTGGTTGGCTGGTAGCTGCTGGCTGGCTAGCGGTGGGGGATATAGCTTTATAATCCCTCCTCGTCTTCCAACCCGCCTCGCCACAATGTCACAGGAGCTTAATATTTGCCATTATTATTTGCTTGTTTTATTTGACTTCGAGGCAGCACAATGACCTGTCAGGGCCGGCTTTATCCCCCCTCCGAGTGTCGTCCGTTTCAAAGTTGACTACAGTAATCCACGAGCCCCCGATTCCGCTAAATCCTGAAGCTTTCTTTCATTCGCTCGTTCTTTTTTTTCTCTCTCTCTCGCTCCCCCCTCCCCGCTCCACCCTCCTAAATGAAATTACATACATCTGCTGGCTCAGAGTATCACAAATGTCCACACACTCACCGGTGTCCGCGCACACATCCACGCGCCTGCCTTTTGTCGTGAATGACGCAGCGGCCCAGTACTCCCTCTTCTCTGCAGTGAGTGGTGGTGTGTGTGTTTGATGGAACAAGACACATTTCTCTGGGATTTATCTTCTCCTGAGCAGCTGAATCTGTCATATATGCACAGATTGTGATCATTTTCAGGTGCCCATAAAGCACTAAACCTATTGTCTTTATGTCTATATTGTATTGAAGGTGTTATACAATAAGTCATACAGTAGAAAGTAGTAGTATAGTGAGCTTGATGTTTGACTCTATCAAAAATGAGCGCAAATGAAAGAAATGTCAAATTCCTGTTCAAGTAAGAAAAAATAGATCAGAACTTCAGGAAAACATGTTGTTCTTCCACTGTACAGCACACCAGTGCCGGTCTTGTTATTCGGAGGACCCTCAATTAATAAATAAGTGGTATGAAATGTCTTCTTAGTGTTAATTCTGTTATGATGCCTGTCGTAGCTTCCCAGCTATTAAACCTCCCTCTTGAGAAAGGGAGAAAAAAACAGCGAGAGATAATAACATAAGCCCTAAGAAGATCTTTCATCTCGCGTCCTCTGTTTTCATCCATTTCTTCTCTTCACAGACGTACTAAGTGTCAGATTAATGCTGCTGTCGCTGTTTAAATGGCCTCCAGTGCCACAAAGCTTCTAGACATAAACAGTGCGAAGTGAACTGACCACAGCAGAGTTTATTTACACTGACGGAGAGAAAGAAAGAAAGAAAAAAACATATATGAAAACAAAACTTATATTAATTTAATAGTATTTTATAATAATCTATGTCGGCTTTAACACACATGGACACATAGTCCATCCTGTAATTTACTGTAATTTATTTTGTATTTATCTGGAAAGACTCCTCCCTCCAACAATTACATATAATCACATATGTCAGTTTTAGATTCTGTAATTATTTGTTGTAGTAGAATATTTTTCTTAGGGCAATAATGAAACGTGTTAATTCATTTAAAGGCCCAGTTCTGTCTCATTAGCTACATAAATGTGGTATAAATTCATATAGAAATTCAAGATTTTGTCGTAATGATACCAAACCAGCTTTTTTGTGTTTGTCTCCAGGTTGGAGATTCAAATTAACAGCTTATTGTCCTGCTGTTTAACAACCTCAGTAATATAAAAATGTATTTATCCTCACCAGAAAACTTTAATAACTTTAATAGGTTATAATTATTATTATAATAATAAATTTAGCTTGGTAGTCTCTACATTGAAAGGCATGTAAATCAAACTTTAAGTGATAACATGTTCCAGATCACATGCAAAACTGTTGTTAAATAACCCCTTAATAATTGGTCTTCAAATCACTAAAACTACAATCTAAATGATTATTTTATAAATATATTAAATATTTTTATCAGGATCACCTGATTTCATGAAACTGAGGCCTCGAACAGAAGCCCAGCTGTTGTCAAACACACAGATCCTCCTCTTTATTCTTTATTCCAGACTGACCGATGTTTGCTGTTATATGGCTAGCATTTGAAGGTTTCCAGTCACTGTATCAGTTGTGCGCATCCTATTGTACCCTGTAGTAAGTTACAGCATAGAGCTTTAGCCCCAGGCGTGGGCGAAGCTTACATTAGCCATGCATCTGAGCCTTGCTAGCTCTCCATGTGTTGAGCAGGTATTACACGAAGCGTCAGAGAGTACCAGAGACGTGTTTTTTTGAAGGCCTGCTGAGTGATTGGTGGGATATGTATTGCCCTACAGTGAGAGGCTCTACTCTGTAAAGGCGCTCGACGGTAATCGCTGAGTTAATCCCGCCCCGGTTGAAGCCGTATTGACGTTGTGAAGACATGGTGTGAAGTATGTGAATGATTACACAAGGAACATAAGCAAGCAGTGTATTTACACACACACACACACACACACACACACACACACATACAGTAAATATCTGGTGGACATACTGACTCTGCAGTGGCAAATAGACTTAACGGAGTCGTTTATCTGCATCATCTCTTTCATGTGTATACTGTACATTTGTACACACTATGCTCTAATTTAGTTGTTTACAAAGGGTGGTAGAAAGTGACCTTTTATCTATTAGGCCGATTTTACTGTAACTGATGTTACTCCTCCTAACAGCTACTTTTATGGCTTTAAGAGTGGAGGGACCTGAGGAATAAATATTAACAGCTTCTGATATTATTTATAAATGGTATACTATCATGTGTGTAACTCTGTGTGTTTGTGCTGTTTTTTCAGGCAACAACAAGGAGGAAGAGGAGGCCATGATGCAGGAGTGGTTCATGTTGGTCAACAAGAAGAATGCACTCATCAGGAGACAGAACCAGCTCTCTCTGCTGTATGTATCCTAGGGACTAACTGTTTTACTGTACCATAATCTGTTTACATTTGCCTTATCTTACTGTTTAACCAGTGACCTTAACATGTAGGTCATTTTATACTAATTAACACTGCACCCACTATCCATTTTCAAGAACTCCTTTAATTATTTAAAATGTATTTTTACAGGATTTTTCTGTTTTATTTTAATTCTTAACTACTATAAGCTACTGATAGAAAGCCATTTGCATCTGTTTGTTTTCCTATATTTTCCGTGCACTGAGAAGCATTAAAAACCCACACACTTCTGTTCAAGCATTAGATCAAACTCGTTGAAGCCACACGGGGTGGGAGTGTGCTCTCCACTCCATTCACCCCCTCTGTCTATCCGCTCATTGATTTACATGTGGACGGATATGAAATCAATAGAAACGTGGCGATCGTCACTCTATCGCTAGTCTCTTTGTATGTGGTCAGCTGCGACAGGTGGAGACACACACATACACGCTGCCTTTTTTTCTTTATTCGCGGCTGTTGGGATTTCAAAGTGTGCAAGTGGAGGAGAGATTGAAGTATTCATAATCACATTATATCGTGGGAAAGGGGAGGCTTTTAAAGTGGCCAATTGACAGAAGGGCTGATTATTAGCCCTTTCTGTTCTCTCTTTGTGGAGGCGAAGAGAAAAGGCTCCTGTGAAGGACAAATTCTATTAGGGACCGAATAAGCTCATTTTTTAATATGGCTGAAAGAGGAAAGAATTCAATTTGTGCTGCATACACACACGGACACACCACATATACCCATGCATACACACATGTAGACCACACACACTCATGGCATGTCCATAGATACACGTACATGTCTTTGTCTTTTTCATTTTCCTTCTCCTTTATTCCTCACGTCATTCTGTCTGTTATGTATTTTCACCACCTTTCCTTTCTCTGTATGTTCTCTTTTTGTTTCCTCACACACAAACACACACACACGCATTCACCCAGGGCTGTGTGAGTGCAGTATGTGTATCAGTTATGTGCAGTAGATTAATGCGAAGCTGGAGAAGGTTCAGGCGAGTAGCTGAATCAATGTTTATTGCAGGTTTCTTTAAGTGCTTAATGATTTAGTCATTAACATATTGATGAACTTTGTTGTGTGTGTGTTGTTTTTTTTCTCTCTCTCTCGTTCTAACTTGCCACAGGGAGAAAGAGCATGATCTGGAGAGACGCTTCGAACTGCTGAACAGAGAGCTGAGAGCAATGTTGGCCATCGAGGGTAAGATACACACACAAGTACACACTCTGGAGGTCTTGGGATTTAATATGGTGTCTGCAGGTATCAGACAGTAGAGATGTGTCATGTCTCTGCTCTGTTTAACGTCACAACAAAATCTTACTTGTACATTTTCTCTTAACTTCACTACCAAATAGTTCCATTTAAATTTATGAACAATTTAAAATAATCTACTGGATTATGATACTGTTTGCAAAAGTGAAGCAGAATAACCAACAATATGTCATGGAGTCAGTTTTCATAATGTAGTTGGCGTTGCATTGTGCTCTCCCAGTGGCTGGCTGGGTCACTAATTTAACAGTCAGATCAAATTTTTTCGAGTAGAACATCTGATAATGGCTACTAGAGATGACAAACTGCAACACTTGAAGTTAATTTTCCATTTCCTGGTGATAAAGGGAAGGTTAAATCTACTGTCATAGTTGTTTGAGTTCTAGTAAAGTGATTCATCTTTCTCCACCTCTATTGTTTTCACGAGTCTGTGTTATGTTTTGTCCAGCTGTTGACCAGCCTTCATTGAGAGCCTAAAGCAGGATGATTTGAATTCTGCGTTGGCTTCTTGATGAGGATTAAGATGCGAGTTTGCGAGGGATTTCACTCCCTGATACTTGATCAATGCTATCTGTTTCCTAGCTAGACCCCGACCAGCCAATGCCTGATTTGAAATCCAGCCGCAGCCACATCGAGAGACGGTTTGCGAGAAAAAAAAAGAGAAAAAAGCAGTTATATTATTGAAAGCTTGTTAACTATACCGCAGCCAGAAAAGCAGCCATTGTGTCGTATCAAAGTTGTCAGGGGGCCAGGGAAGTTTAATCCCCTTCGACGGCGTCCTCTTTGGCAAAATGAACCTTTTGCCAATCAATGCTAATTGATTTTGCTATTCGACATTGACCACCACCACCCCTTTCCCCAACCCCCTACCCCCCCTCTTTCTCCTCACAGCCTTCGGACACCCATTGTAATTTCAGCGGGCACCTGATAAGGTACCTGGTCCATAATAAATCAATTGTAATTAGCAAGAAAGGAGGGGGGGGGGGCAGGCAGGAGGGAGCAGACAAGCGTAGCCAAGCAGGAGCGGCAGACGGTGCCAGGCTGCCTGCGTCCAGGTTGATTTCCTCTGTCTTCGCCCGGCCATTTTATTTATTTATATTTATTGAGCTGCAGTGTGTCCACAGCTTGAGTCAAATGGGAGGATTTCTGTTTTTCTGGTTCATATGGCAGTTTGTGTGTGTGTCAGTGAGTTTGCTTTCACTGTGTGTGTGTGTGTGTGTCTGTTTTATTATTTTTTATTTTACTGAGCTGAAATGTGTGAAAGTCTGCTTTTGTCTTTTTGTGGCGTGTGTGGTGGGGGGGAGGGGGTTAACCTTTGCTTCTGTAAGTGCATATTTCTTTATATATTGGACCTATATAATGTGGCTGTGTGTGTGTGTGGAAGTGAGAGAGTGTTTCTCAACCGGGGAACGTGTTTGGGTGCATGAACCTAATCAAGGTGTGAGTAGGAGGCAATTGGCCCGGCTTGATTTGATACCTGTTTGATTTATTCACTAATCAGAACCAATCAAGCTCCAGCTTCGGCTCAGCGGGGCGATCACGGCTCACCTTCCCAGCACTGAGACGCTCAGTTTTCAACTACTTCAAACTTAATGCACTTTGCCTGGGTTTCCAACACTGTGGGTATTTTTGTCATGAGCCACTCATGGAGATTTACAGTGATTTTTAGAAGAGTTAAGAGGATTTTAATCCGGTTTGCATCCTGCATAAGTACGCTTTATAGCCAAAATTACTGCCAACACTGGCTATAAATGGTGTATTGCTTCTTTAATACGCCACTATTATAAAATTAGGATGTACAGTCATTTTTTTCAGGTATATATGGGTACTAATTTTCTTCATATTGGTAGCAGTTTGGTTGCTATGAAACTCATAAGTAGCAGTGTTTAGTAATTTACGATTTCATTTATTTATTAACTATTGTCCGGTTAAAGAATTGTTATCACATATTCTCAGTGGTTTACGTCATCGAGCCAATCATAACAACTGAACATTACAGTATTCAAAATAACTGTTTACTGTTAACAATTTAAATTAAATGTACAGGTGAGGACTATTCACTCTATATTGTAATGTGTGGATAAAATTGTATCTCCTAACATCCGTATAATAACAATAGCATTTAATTTAAGACTGAAAATTGGAGAAACCAGAACATTCAGAATAGGTAAAGTGCTCGACATCATGTCATAACAGCTTAAAAGTTTACTCCAGTGATTTAATATTGTACCACTTTTGAGAGAAAATAAAGAATGACCAGAATTGAGGCAGCAGAAGCGGGGATATCCTGACTTTTAGCCCCAGCAATGAGTCACACTGAGAAAAAAAACCCCATTAGATCCTACACCTCCCATTATGCAACTTGATAACGTCTTTCATTAGACACTTCCTGCCAGACAAACTCCCACATCTTTCCAACTCCACACCTCCAGTTTGTAACACGGTCTCAAGCCGAAACTGAGATAAGATGGGGTCATTTGCTCGGACTTGACAAAGCTCTTCCACAGCCACAGATGACATTTAACAGTTTTTACAGGCTGAACTAGATCTCTGAACTTCATGTGTAAAATCTGAGTAGTTTCATCATATCGGAGCCCATTCTTTGCACTATTTGTGGCCAGAATTTTTATTTGCATTCTGTAATTGCCTCTCTATAAAGCAGTTTTAATTGTTACTGGCAGAGTCTGCCTTTCCTGTGCAGGATTCAAGTGGCTACAGGTGTCATTAAAGCAAGCAGGACTGAAAGTCCCAACTAAGGACTTTAATTCTGTGTTTTCATTGTTGTTGAGATTCCAATACGGGTCGCTGGCAGGTATTAAGGACATAGAAATATCCAATCTTCTCACTGATGTTTGTTTATGTAGCTCATATAGAGGCTTCAGTATTAATTAGTTTCATAACCGGTTAAAAAATCCTTGCAGTAACCTCAAGTTACCATAACATCTATCAAGTTAATAGTTAAATATACATTATTTTTAGCTCCATGTTCCTTTGGACGGTCCATCACAGTGCATGTAATTTCCAATAAGCCAGCAGGGAATTTCTTTCATCCAACATTGAATAGACTGTTGCTGTACAAGCCATGTCTCGCTGAGGCCGACATAGCAGCAATCAATCAAAGCAGCTTCAGCTGGGCCCGAGCGGAGCGCTAGCTTGTTAGTTTGATTTCACACAGCTGAGCAGGGTCTGGCCCCGGAGCTGAACCACAGGCTGGCATGGGAGGAGCTGGGCTGCTGTCTGCAGCTCTGCGGCTCTGCAGGTACGCTGTCAGCAACCTGCTGCCACCACAGGCCTGCAACAGCATTCCCACAGCTGTGCATCAAATGGCTACCAGCAGAAAACCATGTCCACAAAATCCAAGAAAAACACAGTTACGTGTTGTGAGAGCTGTTGCAACATGTTTACATTTACTGTAGCTGTCAAAACTATAGAAAGTTATCTTACAGGCATAGTTTGACATTTTTGGAATGGCACTTATTGGCTTTCTTACTGAGAGGTAGATGAGAAAATTGACACCACTGTCATGTTTGTACAGTAAATATGAAGCTGCCAGTAGCCAACCAGTTACCAAGCAACCAGCAGAGACCCCCTGTAAAACCCAGGAATTGTCATTTTTTTATTTTTCGATTTTTGTACAGATTAAATAAAAAAGATATAAAATGTTAAATAATGAGCTTTAGAGGTGCTGATAGGCAGAATTTGTTACCATTGGACACAGCCTGACTGTCTGCTTTCTCCAGTCTTAGTTAGCCTGCTGCTAGTTTTGGCTTCTTACAAGCATTCTTGTCTAACTCTGGCAATGAAGTGAATATATGTATATTTACCAAAACGTGTTAGGTGTGTAAAATTATTACCGCATTGTTTACATTCATTGCTAACTTCTTCCTCACTGCCTTTTTGCTGCAGTGTGATAGCGTGATACCCGCAAAAATGTGTATTACTGTAACAGCATAAAGACATTTCCTCATAGCGATACTAGTGGTCAAAAACATGTAATGCATAATGAAGGAGCGGCAAGGCAGTACAGAATTACTGTCCAAGCACCTAGATGCGTAACATGCAAACACACATCCACACTCTCCCAGAAGCGCAGTTGGACTCCAGTTTAGTGTAAGATATCTCGTTTCATCCAGCCTCTGTGCTGGGACTGTTTGAAGCAAAGGGAGCTCATGTGTTTGATGGAGACTTACCTTCTTCCTCATCTCCCCTCAGCTTCCACAGAAACTTCTCCTCTTTGATGTCTCTCCCTCCTCCACTTTCTGCCTCCTGTCATCCATCTTTCCTTTATTTTTTTTCTTCTACCTTCTTTCCATCTCCCTCCCAAAGGAAGTATTCTGTCCAGATGGAGGTGGTGGTAATGAATAAAAATGTCCCTGCATAGCTCGCAGGGCCGAGTAGAAATGCTAAAAGCTTAGTTTAACTGTGGCGACGCCGTCCTGTTTAAATAGCAGGGTGTCTTATGGAGGCTAGTATTTCATTAGTAATCGAGGATAGATAGAATAGTCAGGATAGAAATGCATCATGTAACCATTTAGATAGAAATGAATAACCCATTCATATTTAAATGTATTTTCTGTATGAAAGGACTTTGATAGTGGCGAATACCCATGTGAACTTTATATATATGTATATAAATATATACATTCTGGCCTAAACGTCTAATTTTATTTCTGTGCAATTTGATATAAGTGGCATCAACAACCTTTCAGGAAAATGTAAAATAGTTTAAACATAAAAAAAAGGCAAAATAATTCATTCTAGCCGCTCGCCTGTGGCTAGAATGAATTATTTTGCCTT